GGGGGGGGGTAATTTCTTGCTTTCTATCTCTCTGTCTCTCTCTCTCTCTCTCTGTCTGGCGAGCGCATGCGCCCTGTAGCAAAAAACAAAAACAAAAACAAAAACCTCTAAAAAAAAAAAAATAAAAACAAAAAAAAGAAAGTTGGGCTGAGACTGAAATGAAGAGTGGAGTGGACCACTGTGAGCCCGACCTCTGGGTAACCTGTGCCCTCGACCGAGGATGTGTCGCAGGTCTGAGGAAAGATGGTGGAACTTTATTCAGGGACTTGGCGATTCAAGTTGTCTTTCAGGTCGATATTTTTCATTCTATTTACAGGTTTTTATTTTCTATACACATTTAGAGCTAATCTGCTAAAATATATTTTATCCTCATTGGTCCACCAGAGATGTGAAATTATCTAGAAAATGATCATTCAAAATATCTCAAATTCCTTAGGATAAGTTTTATTGTAAGAAACAAATCTAACTTTTAAAATATGTTTAGGGCGAGAGCCTGTTTCCGAAGAGGGACCTCCCTGCCCTCCAGGAACAGCCTTCGAGTGCTCGGTGCAGTTATGGGTAAATGTTGGGGGGACAATCCCCCCAACCACTTTTTAAAAAAGATTTCTTCTCCACTGACTAAGGGAGAAAATCATGAACAGAAGTTTCAAATGTATCAACGTTAAGAGGTCAGACTACAAAGGACTAAGAAAAAGTGTGAATAGCTAACAGAAGAAACATTTTTTCTCTTTGGGAATAGAATTACATATGAATCAATTGTCAGGTTTTTTTTTTTTTCTTTTTTTAAATGGAACTGGCTGGAGCTCGGCTGGGGCTGGGTTGTAGTCGGTACTTGCAGGTCTTTGCCCATTAAATATATTTAATATGTGTGAGCAACGACTTACTGACTTGCCTGTAGCTATGGAATTAAAAGTCAAGAGAAAGGGAGGAAAAAAGTAATCTAGATAAATGACTTTATTCCCTCAGGTGACATCCAGTCAGAGCAGATCCTCAGCACTGTGCAAGTTTTAACAGAATCGTGTATAGTGAAGAGAGGGGTAACGTGACTTATATTCTGCCGAACTACATGCCTCTTCACTTAGCCCGGTCTCGGGAAGGCAGATCTAAAGAGAGTTCACTCAGCTGCACGGAATCCATCTGACGTGAGGGGCTCACACTCAGAGGCCTATGAAGTGTCAGTGGCTGCCCACTCACCTTCCACCCCGCATACAGAAGAGGCTTTAACTTCATCACTGACCTGCAGGCATCAAAGGGGGAGGGGAAGTGGGGGCTGGAGAGAAAAATCCACATAGTTTCTTCTATGCAGTTATTGAAAAAAAATTGTGCCGAAACCAAAAAAAAAAAAAAAAACTTCAAAAACAAATAAAATAAAAAATAAAAATGCAGAGTAGAGCTGACTGACAGATTTATCCTTTTTCAAGGAAAAAGCCAATACACCTGTATGTACGCCTTTACCGGGAGTAAGCCTGAGAAAACGGTCAGGCTGGAGCTTTAATTTATTGCTCACAGTGGAAAACAAACAGACTTAGGAAACAGTGCACTTGAAAAGTTTAGTAGCTTAAACTTGAGGTTTCTGAAAACCACCAAAGTTTTGTTTTAAAATAAACGCACCACAAAAGGTAAGAAAGCATTTACTTCACATTCCCAATTTGGTCCTATTTCAGATGTCACTGCTGAACTGAAATGTCACCTCTGCCACTCGCCACTCACGGGAATGGAGTGGCAGGGCTCACTGGGGACATCAATGCTTAGACTGAGCAGTCTGTCCACCTAGCACCAGGGCCGGAGCTCCTCGCTCATTCAGCAAGTTTGCCGAGCACCCTACGCACTGTGCAGCTCTGCTCCAGGAACCACGGAGTGGCTACTGAGTGAGAGCCAGGCCTCTGAATTCACAGGGCCTGATAGGGACGAATTAGTTATCTAACTATGTCAGATAAGAAGATAAGGATGGGCACATGGGGGTGGAGCTGCAAAAAGAGGAAAGTTAAGTTGAGGGGGGAGGGAGGGACGACACAGGAGAAAGTCCCAAGCAGTTTTGCAAGTCCTTGCCTAGGCAGCAGCCTGGGGCTGAGTTTTCTACATGAGCCTGGATGCCTCCACCCTACAAGGAGTTCCATGAAATTTCTAGGAGCCCAGACAGACAGAGGAAAAGACAGAGTCCAAGCCGGCCTTTCCAATTAACTTGCTCCTTCAAACAGCCTCCCAGGCCCTGCGAGGGACCACACACCGCCCTTGCCATCTCCAGCCATCTCTAGCCGGTGTGTGATCCTGGAGGACTTCCTGCAGCCTGTGGGACTCGGAGCGCACCCATCTCTCAAGCGAGGGGCAGCAGAACAACTGCTCTTTGAAGTCCTCTAAGTTCTAAAACCTGGTGACTTCCTAAATAAAAGTAATGTTATAATCTTCTCTCCAACTTTGAATTTTATGAAGTGAGAAAGAAAAGTATCCATAAGTTATTGTTTGAATAAACAGAAGCAGGCCACTGATACCAACTTGAGCTCAACCATCATTTAAGACGATTTTAACTTAATTAAAACCTTAGCAAAAGGAAACATTAAAGCTCTAGACATACTCTGAAGCTTCTTTATGTCTGAATCATGTCCTACCTGTAGGGACATCTCGATCAACATTAGTAACTTCTTGATTCCTATCCAGACCTTCTTCCCTTTGACTTGCTGTGAAATTGTGGTGCGTTCTTTATCCTTGAAGTTGCCCAAAAGCTATACAAACAATGAACAATAATAAAAGCACTTTTACAGTAAGTGTATCAACATGAGTGAATTCTTTATTCATCCTTAAAATAGTAGGAATAAAAACTACCTGACTGGTTCAAGCAGATAGAATTCTCTCCTATTTTTAAATCTAATCTGACTGGGGGCAACAGATGGCATGGTGGTTGAGGTGCTGGTCTCCCACATGGCTGACTGTGGTTTGAGTTCAGATCTGGTGGCTTGAAACTCAAGCCAGGGATGTGTGCATGTGTGCCCAAACTCCCAGAAGGCGAATAGAGAATGGAGAGTGTGGCTATGCCCCCCCGGGGGGTAATTTCTCACTTTCCCTGTTAGTGTCTCTTCCCATGAGTACATGTGCTCTATGGCAAAAACCTTAAAAAAAAATCCAATCTGACTTTCCTAAACTCACTAGGCCCAATCACGAAACTAAAACCTGGCATCATTTTCCCCCTTTAATTTGTGGTAAAGCATGTGCGCGTGCACTGTTAGAAGTGAGCACCCTCTACAATGCCTGGTCACACCAGAATCCCCTTCCTCCAGGCCTCCGGCCCACTTGCATGGTGGATATTACCTTTTCAGGCAATCCAGATCACGGATTTGAACTGTAATCGCCATGTGGAATCTCGCTTCCTTTGAGCAATGTATTAGAGTTGCAGAAGGAAGCCAGCCCCAAAACTTGCATCTTAAATCATGTGTTCCTATGAGTCTCCATGATAACTTAGAGATATATTTGCTCAAAAAAAAAAAAAAAAAAAAAAGAAA